CACACACAGACATTATACACTCACATAAATAGCGTACACAGGATCAGCAGACAGTAAGCTTCTATTCAATACCTCACATGGCCCCCTTCTATACCATTTTTTGGGGCCAACACCCCCACCTATGGGTGCATCAGTGATCTGGCTGCTCCCCTCAAGATCCAGTAACGTGACACCCAGAAACCTTTGTTAACCTCTTTCTTTGATCTGTCTTAACATAACTTCACTGGGCCCAATTCTCTAGGGTCTAACATTAAGGAGAATACGTCACATGCACCAGTCTCCCAGTTCTCGATGCAGGCTCTCAGCAGAGATGTTCCAGACTGCCAGCTGAAAAGTCCCTGGTGCCCATCCTCTGTCAGGATGGGTCAACAATCCTTCCCGGCTCTCTGCCCCTCGCAAGGCTGCATCTGGGGTCAGTAGCAAGACTCCAAGATGGAGACTGCTTCATGGCACTTATAGATCCATTCTTGGTACCAGCTGGAGTTGGTCACATGATACGTTTCACATACCAGTGTCCATGAGGTACTGGCCAGTCTGCAGGTTTCCAGGCGCATTCCTCGTGTGTGTATTGGCTACCCCGAGAGCCATTGTCCTTGGAGCCGTGCTAGTTAGCACAGTCATTCACTGGAGATTCCTTCTTTGCAACAGGCAGTCTAGGCGCATTGCTCTGTCTCAGGTAGAGAACATTCACACTACCAGCCCAGAGCCCATATTCATAACTTCACATACAAATATCACACTAGTACATGAGTAGCAGACCTAGAATCAGTAGAACAGAAGCTTCCATTTGACACCTTACATGGCCCCTTTGTACAGCCTTTGAGGAACCCCCCCCATGGGCGCAACTGTGATCTGTCTAGTCAGAGTAGCTCGTTCTTCTTCGAGTGGTTCCCGTGGGTGCTCCACTCATACTGTCGGGCTCGTCCCAGCACTGCAGCTCAGATAACTATTTACAAGTAAAGTATTCAGCTGGGTCGCGCATGTGTGGTGTGCAGCATGCGCCGTTCACGCCCTTCGATCTTCGAGCACACCCGGCTGTCCGCTCAGTTCCTCTCAACTGTCTCTGGCCACAGACTGAGCTCAGATTCTCTCTTCAGCCCTAGGGGATCTGTAGTTAATTACTTGTAAATAGTTATCCTTTTGTTGACTGTTCTTCTTTATCTACAAAAACCCCTTGTTAACACTTCATTAAAACCCTCTTCCCGCTGTCACTGACTAACAACCTTAGCCACGGGGATTCTAATGGGCAAGGCTTTTCACAGGAGGAAGAGTTTAACCCAGTCATGCCTGGATCCTCAGGCTTCAAAAAATGTGCCCTATGTAGTGAGCCCATGCCAGCCTTGGATGGGGAAACCATATTCCCCAAACATGCAGGCATTGCTCAAAAATGACAGCCTGCACTTGCTGTGACAGAGAAGGTGGACCCCGATAGAATGACTGCTGGACAACTTGGGAGGACCCAGAAGAGAAGGGTCTCTTCCCCATAACCGCTGGCAGATAAAAGGAAGAAAATCTCCCCGCCTGAGAGGACGGAAGATAAGCCAGGGTCCTCTGGCTCTGTCCTGCGAACCTCAGTACCCGGGTTAGGGACAAAAGTAAAGAAGGCTGCAGAGTCCAAAAGAGCCTCTTTGGCGCCAAGCTGCACCCACGCTACAAAGGTGCCAGCACCCTACCAGCCCAGAGAACGCTCGCACTACCAGCCAGAGCACGCTCACACTACCAGCCCAGAGAACGCTCACACTACCAGCCCAGAGAACACTCGCACTACCAGCCCAGAGCCCATAGTCACAACTCCACATACAAATGTCACACCAGTACAAGAGTAGGAGACATAGAATCAATAGAATAGAAGCTTCCATTTGATAAAGGGATAAAATAAGAGTGCAAGGGTTAATATTTGATAAGATTTTATAACGCTTGATCTATATTTTTCTGGTCTCTAATCCATTGTGTCACTTGCAGCAACTGACATGTCAGTTACAACTTGCATATCGGGAATGCCATTCCTTTGTACAGACTTTGGAGCAAACACCCCCCTCCCCATGAGTACAGCAGTGATCTGGCTGCTCCCCTTAAAATCCAGTAACGTGACAGAATCATGTATCTTTCTAGACCAGTCTGCTGTAGTATTCATGAAACATCCATGGTGATCCACAAATGCCTGGAGAAACATGGAAAATCCAATTAATGTACTTGGTGGTTGGGTTGTTGAGTACCAGAATTGGAATATGCATGCCATCTATTGCCCCTCTGCATTAGGGAAGCTCATTTGTGTAAAGCCATTTACAATGTTATGCACATTGCCCAGAATCATGGTCTTTCACAGCAGCATCTGAATAATGGCCTTGCACTCTCTTGTCAACATGAGTCCAGTGGTCAATTTTCCCACTCTGGTTTGGTTAGTGACTGATAACTAGTAGTCAGGAGTACTCAGCTTCCCCAGAGCAATCTTCAATGTTTCACCAGCAATAAGGGAGCTCTCATTCTCATGTTCTTTTTCAGCAGGGCTGGAGTGAGCTCACAATACAGATCCATGAAATGGCTTTCCTCATGCAAAATCCTGACCCGCAGCCCCTGCCAGCCCAGTACTCTGCCCCCCCCACATCTGCTGTGCCCCTCACTCCTGGCCCACAGGAATTCCAGCCCTGAGCTTCTCCCACCTGTGTCTGCTGTACCCCTAGTCTGGACCTGCCGTCTCCCCGAGTGGGCCTGCTCCCACACAGTCACAGCTGTGCTGCCCTGTGCGCGGCCGTCCCTGCTAATCCATAGGGGCCTGGTGTGACTGGAGGGGCCCGCTGGTCTTTCTGTCCTACAGTTCAATCCCCCCGTGGCTATGGAGAAAGTGGCTGAGTGGCAGAGGGAAGCATCCCGCATAGAAGACGCCCTGCCTGCCAAACACCCCATCCTGCAGGCCTGTGTGCACAGCATTGGGAGCTTCCAGCAGGTCCTGCCCCTGCTTCAGAAACTGGCCAGCCCCCTCCTGAAGAACAGCTGCTGGTGGGAGATCTTCACAGGTGCGCCTGCGAGGAGCACCGGCGGGGGTCCATGGCAGAGAGGGGCAACGTCCTTGGAGATGTGTCCTCCCAGGGCCCTGCTCTCAGCTCGGCCCGCTCTCAACAAATAGGCACCGCACCTGCCCTGAGCCCCATGCTGGCTGGGAGAGGGGACAGTCGGGGTGGCGAGTGGGTGGGGAGAGCTGGGCTGGCCCATGTGGCCAACGGGCTGAGCTAAGGGACTGTGAGGTGCTTGCCACCCTGAGCAGCAGCTGGAGCTGTGCCTGCAGCCTCACCTGGACCGGACTCTTGGCCGGATCTTTGGGGAAAGGGCAGTGCAGTGCTCAGGTGCTAGCCTAGGACTGGGGGGCAGGGATCATGTTTGTGTGACCGTGGGCCAGTCATTGGGCTGGGCTCCCATGTGGACAATGGAGAGAGCCCTGTGCCCTGGGATGGCAGGGGTGAAGCCATGCCAAGCTGGCAACGTGCTTTGAGACGTGTGCTGGGGAGGAGCTCGGGGGGGTTCCTAGTGGCCCTGCTGCCAGCTCTTCTCAAGCCCAGGCCATGGTGCAGCCTCCCAGGGGCTGGTGAGAAGGCCCAGTCAGCGTGCAGCTGACGCACCTGCTGATGAGGGACAGTCCTGCTGCACCTGGTCACTCCCACAGCAGAGCTGGGCCAGGGGGCTCCTTTCCCCAGCAGGCTAGCTCAGCCTTCTGCTAGGGAAGCAGGACTCCGAAGGGCTGCAGCCCAAGGTGCAGGAACTGCCCACGCCTGAGCTGAGTGGCGAGTGCCCCGGGCCGGCCCAACGGCGGTGGCACCGCGCGGAGCCACGTCCTGTCCTGGGGCCACGCTGACTTGAGCCATGTGGGAGCATGGGTCTTGCCCTACAGGTGCCCGCGTGGGGAGAGCCTGGCAGTGCAATCTCTCGGGCCCAGGCAGAAGGGCTCGTGGTGGGAGCTGGGTTAGGTCAACTTCACCGGGAATAGGTGCGGGGAGCCGTGGAGCAGCCCCCAGGCTCAGCTGCTAGTCACACACTGGGCACAGGGCCAGGGCCACCCAGGAGCTAAGGGCCCTTCGGTCCCTGCCATGCTTGGGGCCCAGCTGGGCCTGCCAGTTGCACGCTGACGAGAACCCTCATTCTCCTGCAGCAATGGCGGTGAAGTGCCCTGGCAACATGCAGTTCACGCTGGGCCAGCTGCTGTCCTACCCGATCCTGGAGCACAGCGACAGCATCCTCAAGGTGAGCAAGGCTGCCAGAGGGTGGGAAGCGGGGTGTGGGACCGGCTGGCCCCCAAGGTGTGAGCTCAGAGCCCACGAAAGCTTCTGCTCCAACACTTCAGTGAGTCTCTAAGGTGCCACAGGGCTCCTCGCCGCTTTTCCTGAGGCACTAGAAGGAGTGAATATGGGTTAGCAGTTCCTCCTTCCAGTGGTGTCCCTATGGGTGCTCCACTCAGGTCTCACTGCGTCCCCCAACAGAAGTGCCATCCCGTGCTGTTTCCATCCGTGGGCAGGAACCAGTGTCCCTCTAAGGTTTCCATCCACGAGGGAGGGAGTTTTGTGTGGATGGTGCCACTGTGGCACCCGAGTTATTAACAGTATTGTCATCGTAGAGGTTCCTGGGCTTTTGTGTTTCGCTCATGATGACAATTTTGTGGGGCTTAGGGGCTATGTATTTGTTTGTTTGTTTTGTTTTTAATTGGACTATAAAAGGTCATGGAGCAAAATCAAACCCCAGCATCTAAGATTGAAAGATGCTTTGAATCTGTCACTGGGTAACATTCCCTGGAGAGCTGCATTGAGAGAGATGTCTAGCATCATTAAGCCACCAATGCATTGATGGCCCCACGTTATCTCTAATGTCAATGACCAGTGTGGTCATGGGCTAACTGAACTCCTGGGAACTGGCTTGCCGGGCACCTAGGCAAGGTGAGGCGGGGCCATGGGCAGAAGGGACAAGGCAGCCAGCCCTGAGCACTGCCCGGATGGCGCCGTGCGGCACCCCACGTCGTAGAAGCAGTGGCTTGGAGCCCCAGCCCTTTGGAATGGCCGGCCCCAGGGCGTTTGTCTCTTTGCCCCCACCCTGTCGGCAGGTGAAGCTGCACGTTGCTAGAAATCTTATGAAAAAGGCTCGAGACATTTAGAAACCTGAATTCCATGGCAAGTCAGTGTGGGAACATACTTACTACAGCTGCAGCAGCCACCCACCACGGGGACCCTTTGGCCTCGGCCCGCCACAAGGATCCTTCAGCCCTGGCCGCCAGAGCAGCCGCCCACCGCCCGCCACGGGGATCCTTCAGCCCCGGCCGCCAGAGCAGCCGCCCACCGCCCGCCACGGGGATCCTTCAGCCCCGGCCGCCAGAGCAGCCGCCCACCGCCCGCCACGGGGATCCTTCAGCCCCGGCCGCCAGAGCAGCCGCCCACCGCCCGCCACGGGGATCCTTCAGCCCCGGCCGCCAGAGCAGCCGCCCACCGCCCGCCACGGGGATCCTTCAGCCCCGGCCGCCAGAGCAGCCGCCCACCGCCCGCCACGGGGATCCTTCAGCCCCGGCCGCCAGAGCAGCCGCCCACCGCCCGCCACGGGGATCCTTCAGCCCCGGCCGCCAGAGCAGCCGCCCACCGCCCGCCACGGGGATCCTTCAGCCCCGGCCGCCAGAGCAGCCGCCCACCGCCCGCCACGGGGATCCTTCAGCCCCGGCCGCCAGAGCAGCCGCCCACCGCCCGCCACGGGGATCCTTCAGCCCCGGCCGCCAGAGCAGCCGCCCACCGCCCGCCACGGGGATCCTTCAGCCCCGGCCGCCAGAGCAGCCGCCCACCGCCCGCCACGGGGATCCTTCAGCCCCGGCCGCCAGAGCAGCCGCCCACCGCCCGCCACGGGGACCCTTTGGCCTCGGCCCGCCACAAGGATCCTTCAGCCCTGGCCGCCAGAGCAGCCACCCACTGCCCGCCATGGGGATCCTTCAGCCCCGGCCTCCAGAGCAGCCACCCACCGCCCGCCACGGGGATCCTTCAGCCCCGGCCGCCAGAGCAGCTCCCTGCTACCCATCACACAGCTCCTTTAAATCTGGATGTCAGAGAAGCCACCTGCCACACGGCTCCGCCTCTGAACCCAACCAGGGTGGCCAGAGCAGCCACTGCCTGCCACACATCCCACAGCTCCAGCCCTGGGGAAGTGTTGAAGCTAGTGCCAGGGCCACATGGTGGCTGCCATGCTGCTCCTGGGGCAGGGCAGCCGCCTGCCATGTGGCCCAGCTGGGCAGCTCTACCGAGGAGGTGGGCAGGACTCAAATTCTTGGTGTGTGCCCATGCATGCACGCATATAAGAGGGAACACTGGCTGGAACCCAGATATACGTTGGCACTGGAGTCAAAGATGTTTTCCAAGTAAAATACGCACATGCGGCACCGAACAGCACAGTATCTGGCACCAACACCATAGGGGCCGAGCATGCATTCACCTCCCCGTTTTCCCATACTTGTGGAGTCTAGTTGGCACTGACGCCCTTCTAAGAATATTTCTTTCTCACCTACACC